AGCTGTCACTCCAGTATATTGTCCTGAAGCTTGAAGGGCTGGAAAGTGACCATGCTCCTTCTTCTCTAAAGTACAACCAAGAAACAGCAGGTGCAGCATGAGAAATAGCTGGCCATTGGTCCTGGCCAGCGGAGTTTCTTTACCACAGGGGAGCATTTCAGTATCACTTAGCTTGTCCAAGAGAAACTATTTTGGTTCCATATCCATGTCCTGGTAGTAGAGTTCAAACTTATTTTAGGTTTGTTGATGACCGTACTATCCAAAGGATATCAGGGAGGAAGCCAAGAAGCTACCATCTGTGCTGTGCTTGTAGCTAAAGAATTCTTTAGAATCTGGTCACAGAATGAAGTCTGCATCCTGACGCTAGAGAGGTGACTGACACTTTCTTGAATGTCATGTTACTCTTGGTGATGCATATACCTCCAGCAGTACACGTGGAGATCAAAGTGCCAGCGAAAGTTTTCCTGTTGAATAGTGACCCCTGTGCTTTACATATGTTGGAGACACTGTGCATGCTTACTCACAGTGCACATTTGGCAGTAGCTTGGCAACAGTAGTGTGTTAGTAAATGTTTCACAGCTGGCTCTCCAGGGGAAGAATATCTGGGCTGTCAAATTTGCCAACTTTTATGGTAGAATAGTAAGAACAACTAGGCAGTTGTTTTTACAGTGTGTGAAGTCACCACTAGGAATGCCTGTTTCCCATAACAAAGTGCTGATTTGAGTCCCAGGTGCTCTGCTTCCAGTCTACCTTCCTGCTTACTCACCTCAGAGGGCAGCAGAGGCAGCTCTAATGCTTGGGTCCCTGCCTGCCATGTGGGAGACTCAGATGGAACTTGGGGCTCCTGTCTTTGACCTGGCAACCCTGGCCACTCAGACCATTGTAGATTGAATGAACAGACAAACTGATCCTCCTCCATCCAATTTTCCCTCCCTGCTCATAACTCTGTCTTTCAGATAGATAGTTAAATATTTTAAAAAGTGATAGGCCTGCAGCTACTATTAACAGTAAATGATGAAGCACTGGATACTTTCTCTATGATAAGGAAAATGAAAGATTTTCAATCTAAATCACTTCTGTTTAGCATTATAGTGACGATCCTAGGTAGACCAGTAAATAAAGGAAAAGAAGCAGAAGGTATACATATAAAGAAAGAGGGCGAGCTGTCACTGTGGATCATGTCAATGTAAAAATCCAAAATGTTTTCCAACATGGCCACTAGAACTATTAAGTGATTTCAGTAGTTACACAATGCAATGTCAATATTAGAATACCAGTTGTCATTCTATAAGCTAGTAACATAGAATAAGGAGACAGTTGCACAAGGTTTGTGATAACATCACAAAGCCTCAAACACCTAAGGATAGATTTAACACAATAGGTACAGCTCCATACACTGGCAAGTAACAATGTTGAGAGACTAGCTAAATGGAGATTGTAAATTCTGTTCGTGATTTGGAAGACTCGATGTTAAAATTTCAGCTGCCCAGATAGATCCAATGAGAATTTTAACAGAGTATTTGTGAAAATTAAGAAGCTGAGATTTTTGAAATTTAAATAGAAATGTGAAAGACTTAATATAGCTGGACGATTTTGGAAATGAAAACCAGATAGGGAGTCTGTGGCTTGCAGATGTCTGATCTGGCCCCCAGGTACCTGTCCTTACTGCTCAGGGCTGTGTAATCCTCTTCTCTCAAGCAGAGTAGGGAGCTGTGAACAGGTTGGGTTGGCACTCCCTGTGAAGATTGTGCTAGGCAGCAGAAGTGGAGGGAATTCCATAAATGGCCTGTGCAGGCCTGAGATGACTTCCTGTCTGTGTGGAAAATTTGGTCTCCATCCAATGGAAACATACAGGTCTTAACCATCTTTCAGGTCCATCCAAGCACTTTGATTGCAGCTCCACCCTGGGAGTAGACCAGAGGAGGAGAAGGCATGTGAAGGCACCAGAACGAGAGCTTGAATTTTGCACATCACTGTTGATTCATGGGATCACACTTTGAGTAGTCAGGCCTTGCTGCATAGGCCCAGGTGCAAGGAAGTTCTGCTGTGAAGTTTGGCAGTATGTTGCTGGCGTTGGGGTATATTGTCAGCCCCAACTGGACTGGTGTCCCAGAGTTGGCAGATTTTTAAGCAACAAGAACGTGAAGAGAGGAAGAGCTGTACTTCCTTACATGTCTACTCTATTCACTAGTAATTTTATTTGTTGCGTCTCGTGTGAGTCACTGGCAACTGCTCTTTCCCAGGAAACCAGTTAAACATGCTGCTTCTTGGCCTCTGAGCATCCTTCCTTTCAGCCTGTCTTTCTGTCCCAGTTACCTAAACCACGGTGGTTAGAAATCCCACCTTTACTCGTAATCTCTTTTTCAAGACCTAACGAAACCCCTGGAAAACAAGCTGGTCTGTTACACTACAGACCTGCGTCCATGCTGATTCCTGACAGATTTTCTAATTCTTGCCTGCTTGGTTCCCAGCATGGTTTCCACAGCAGTGCCCCAAGTGCTTTCCACTGTTTGTGCAGCCCTAGATCCAGCTGTGAGCAGAAGGACTCAATCTCATTACAGAGAAGGAAAGGATGCTTTGTGTTCCTAATTTCGTTGTTCTGGACTGGAGTCATCTATGCTTTCTTCTCTTCCCATCTCATTTGCTCTGACTTCTAGCCACTTAAAATATCACCCAAATTTCTTATTTTGTGAGCTCACAATGCCATCTTTGTCCCCTTTCGCAGGTGCCTGAAGTAGGCCTCTTCTCCTGCCTCAGTGACCTGCCTCATCCAAAAGGAGGGGCTTTTTGATGTCACCACTTCTGCTCACTCCCTACTACCAGATCCATTGTTTGCAATATGAACTTCTCCTTTACCCAACCACAAATTTGAAAAAGAAAAAATAATATGCATTTAGCTATTTAACATCATATACATATATATGCACATATAAGAAAAATAGCAAGATTTTAAAGATTTTGATGGTATATTTTCTTTGACACATACTTTTTTTTTGAGAAATAGAACTAAATTAAATGTATTGTAAAGTCTGTTTGCATTATCAAGTAGTTGGATTAAATTAATGAGGTAGTTGTGTGTTTTATTTGTGAAATGTGAAAACACATACAAATAACTATTATAAATAACTATTATTAAGGATAAAAGACAATTTTGACTTCTCTGTTTCTTGAAAGGAAGATATGTTAATCTATTTTCCAGTGTGCTTAGATAAGTAATGTTCACAGTTAATTTAATAAAGATTTAAAGTAAGTATTAAATACGAAGTATATTACAAAAGTAGTTTTCCGTGATATTTAACTCATATGGTCTAAAATGAAATACATCATAAAAATCATAAATAATTAAAAATTACTGATATACTTAGAAATGAGTAATAATCTTCAGTTAATAATATATTTCTGTTTTTGTCTCATACATTTATAAAATGGCAGTTAAAATAGTTGATCTAAATCAAGAGAAATAACTAGGAATCCTGTGTAGTATTAAACTTTGTTCAACTGTTAGTTGCCTTTTGTATGCTCATTCACTGTGTTTTACAGAACAACCAAAAAATATATTCTAGATATCCAGAGTGACTTTTATTTGTTTTCTGGTCAAGGTTACCTATGTGAGATAGGTTGAAAAGAACCCTTCTGGTTACTAACTTTGAGCAACTGAGTATTTCCAGCTATTTAATTGAAAAAATGGCATTGAGGGGCGGTGTGTTGGCTCAGCTTGAGTGCCAGTCTGCAGAGTGGCATACCCAGATTCAGGACCCAGGTTTACTTGCAGTTTTTGCCACCTGCCAGCATGCACACTGGGAAGCAGCAAGCAATGGCTAAGGTAGGGTGAGATTTAGACTGAATTCTTACTCCTACCGCAGGCCTGGCCTGTGTCAGACTGTTCCTGCCTTCTGGGGAGTGAACCAACAGATGGACGATATCTGTCTCTGTCTAAAACCTGTTTCTGTGTTCTAAACAAAGATCAATTAAAAGTTAAAGTGACATTAAAATATTTACCATTTTTGATAGCAAAATGTGGGAGCAAGAATGACTTATTGCCAGAGATGATGTGAAAATCTTCCTTTTCTGTTTCATGTTTGTGCCTCGTGTTTTCATTCTGTAGTAGTTTTTTTGTCTTGTGATATTTCCTTGCAGAGGGTTTGAAGCCTTTGAGACTTTTTCTTTTGCAGTTATAAAAGCATGAACTTAAAAAAAAATTCTTTGCTGAAGTTTAAGACCTTCGGCAGTTCATTATTTTCCCTGAACTTCTTTTCTCTCCATTAGTTTTGAGAGTGGTAAAATAATAAATTGAGCACTCTCCATTTACTCTTTTTTGATGACTGTGTTGCTGATGGGCCAAAGCAAACCTCTGGAACCCAGATGAACTTCTAAGTTATTCCAAGAGAATTAGGAATCTTCCTTTACCATCTGCTCAGTCTGCTTTGCAAAGTAGTAAAGCCCTCCCTCTGACTGTAGAAATTAATACATTTGCTGGAAATGTGACTTTGGGACATTTTATAGCAGTGGTTTTGATGCTGTTAGTGGTGAAATGGAAACTTGAGAACGTGAAGATTAATTTAAACCACATGATGAGTTCAAGGAAAAGGGACATATTCTACAGTTTCTTGAATGTGTGCTAACTCTACATATAGTGAGGGAACGCGATCCGACTAAAACCACCACTGAACTTTTAAACCCCCCGGAGAGGAATCAGACCAACACGATTAGCCCTGTAATGGAGCTGTTCCTGATGACAGGCTTCTCTGCTTTCCCTAGTCGCAGATTCCTTTCCCTATGAGGACACAGTTGGGAGATTAGGAGGAGGAGAGGCACCCCAAGTGTTATCATGCAAGGAATGAAGCTGGAGCTCCTCCGAGTCCTTAGCGGCCTTTCTAATTGATCTTTCATCATGGATCCCAAATCGTGGTGGATTTGGTTACTGGTAGACATCCAGTGAGGTGTGTGTTGTAGAGTCACTGATGAACTTGACATAAGAGATTTTTCTCTCCCTTTTGCAGTTCGTCGTGGCAGTGTTCTGGATCATTTATGCCTATGACAGAGAGATGATTTACCCAAAGCTGCTCGACAATTTCATCCCAGGGTGGCTGAATCACGGAATGGTGAGTGAACTAATACAAATGGTGATCTTCTATTTATTTTTTAAGTATTGACGAGTAATTTTCCAATTTAGATTTTCCGTAGAATCTACCTAAATATCCACGAGTTCGTCCAAGATTCAAGAGAAGAGTACTCGATGTAAACAAAAAGCTTTTTCCCAGGGAATTAAGTCATTAGTACTATAGCAGAAAAGTCAACATAGTGTTAAAGGTGCTAGAATACGCCTAGCACATTCTAGCATGAAATCAATTTTTGAGCCATTAGGCGGTTTACCCTCAGAACCCGAGGGTTGATTCCAAGCTACACAATCATCAAAACCCTGGCTCCCCTTTATGGCACTTGAGTGGGTTGTGTTGAAAGTAACTGTTGTACCTGGGAATTGGTGAGCAGCAAGGGTATTACTGTCCCTCGAAGATCTGATGAAAGCTTTGCAGACGCCTTTGGCAGTGGAGTTGCCTGCCTTATCAGGTTCTTCCCATCCTTGGTTGCCTACCTGATGCCTCTTCATTAAAATTCTCTGTGATGCTGTAGCCCCTGGTGTTACCTTCACGTGTTTCAAATCAAACACTTTGGATGGTTTGCACCTTATCAGCTTTGAGAATGTGGGTTCTGCAGAGAGATGTTGTGTCATCCTCCCTTCCCGTTTCCGGAATTGAGCATTGTTTTATCATTAACTCAGGAGCCTGCATTCTGGTTACAGCAATTTTTAGAATGTGTCCCAGAGTGTTCCTGATGAAAAGGGCAACCCATCACAGGAAATTATAGGGAAAGAAAGCATTGGAAATCACAAGTCTCAGGGCTAAAATAACAATCTCTCATCTGCCCCCAAATTCTGGTATATTTTAAGAAAATGATGTGTACTAACAAACAAACATTCCTGCCCTGAGGGGCTTTGATCAAACCTTTCTTAAGCCAACTTGTCAAAAATGACAGCCCTCAGAGCACCAGGATTTTCTTTGTGTTTAATTAGGGCTATAGAGTGAAGGGATTAGCATGGCACCTCCGTTCTGATTTCAGACACATCCTCTGGTCTGGTTGCTTCAGTCCAGCCATCTGAAGCGCCTGATGTGGTTTCTCTGCTCTTTCCAATTTTTTTCCTTTTCTTGAGTGTGAGCAGCCCCAGGTCTCTGCAGTCTTCTGTCCCAAATGCCCTTCTCATTCTTTCCTGGCAAATTCCTCTTCATCCTGCTAGCATAGCTGCTATCTTCATTAAGAAGCTTTTCCCAACTCCCCATGCAGAGGTAGCTGTTCCTTTATTTGTGCTTACACAACACTTTTGTATCTCTCTTAGGCATGTCTGTATCTCTACAAAAATGCTAAACTCCTGGTACAAAACAGCAGCCTTTGAATGCTAAGCATTTTCCCAGCTGTCTGTTGCTAGGATCAATACATATTTATTACATTGATGAGGGAACTCAGTATGGCCGACTTCCACAATTCTTGCTTGTCAATCCTAATAACTGTTATATTTTCAGAATCTGTGATGTTCTAGGCATTCTGCAGTGATTAGATGGTGTAATATCCACAATGGCACAATGAATCAGGAGTCATGAATATTAGCTCACTTACAGGTGAAAAACCCAAACCTCAGCAAGGTTATATAATCCCCTCATCCTTTGTCTAAAGGAGGATGAAAAAGGATCCTGAATCCAGTTCTGTCTGTCCTCAAATATATATGTATTGTTCTTACAAGTTCATATTTTTGTCTGAAGCAAAGCATACATACTTAATAGAAATTGTGACATTGTAATAGCTTTTACAATTGTAAATCAAAATTCAGAAGAAACACTTCTTAGCTTACTCTGAAATTTAGTTTCAAAGTATGTGGCATAGTTTAAGGCTGAGAGAAAGCAATTGTTAGATATTTTTAAGAAAAAGTTTTCAGGGCATTCTTGACTCCTGAAAGCAGAGCTGGATTTTGTAAATTCCTTTTCCAGACACCAAACTGAAAAGCATTGTCAAAGAGGAGCAGGCTTTCATCACCAAACTGGCGCACTGTGGTACAAACGAGAGACACCACTGTGGTGTGATCTCCCAAGAGGAGGAATGGTCATGTTGTTGAGGTAACTTTCAGTTAGGTTCAAACTCAGGTGTACCAGAAAAGGGAGACATCTGCCGTTCTTGTCTGCTGCTGAAAGTGAAATAATATGTTGTTTTTTCATGATTTTAGGAGGGCCTTAGCTGAGAAGAAACCATTATATTACGTGCTACAAAAGTACAGTCTTGGATTGCCTGGTCTATTGTTTACATCCCTAGACTACACAGTTCTCTGTGTTACATTCAGCCAGAGAATCAATCGCAACCTTTTCAGATCCTGGCTTTAAATTTTTAATGCTTAAAACAAATGGCTTATTAAGCATGTGTGTAGTTATTAGAACTTGGCCTTGACTCTCTTAGCTTTCCCTTGATTCACTTTGATGGGTTACAGTTCTTAATCTTGGAGACAAGCATCACTTAGAAATCCAAGGAGGAATTGAACAATACAAATACTTATGAAAGGGAGAAGATAAGTTAATTAATGTCAAATCTACCAAGTTAAATGAGCTTAATAGATTATTCCATGATAAATTTTATTTCCTAGCAAATGTACATGACTGCTACTTTGCTTTTCTTGTTCCAATTCATACTTGCAGTATTGCCAACAAAAGAAATTATAGATGATGGCCAAAGAATAGTTTACAAGATAGTTTGTAATTCCCAAATTTATGTGTATCTGTAAGTGTAGACACAATATTCATAAGACATGATGCTGAGTCTTTAGATTGGCCATTGAAATATGAACATTCAGGCCCCAGCTACCAAGTGCTCGCCTTGAATGCACCAGGATCTCATATGGGTGATAATTCTAATCCTGGCATCCCTGCTTCCCATGCTGCTCTCTGCTTATGACCTGTGAAAGCAGTCAAGGATGGCCCAAGGCCTTGAGACCCTACACCCACGCGGGAGATCCAGAAGCTGCTCCTGGCTCCTGGCTCTGGAGCTCTGGCCATTGTGGTCACTTGGGGGAGTGAATCATCGGATGGAAGATCTTCCTCTCTTTCTTTCCTCCTCTCTGTATATCTGACTTTTCAATAAAAAATAAATCTTTAAAAAAAGAGAGAAATGAACATTCAGTGCTAGAGTTATAACTTAGAATTGGTTAATAAATTCTCTGAAATTTCAGAAAATTAATTAAATATTTTTAACTTTGTTTCAATTTCAGTTAAAGACTTACTAATTACTTATAATTTATATTTCTTTTAAGCTATCTTAGATTATTTTCAATGCTTAACATTGTAAGTGTATAAAAATTAATCAACTCAAAATTTTATTTTAATGCATAAATCTTGCTTAAAATATGTGCTTTTTGTTTACATTTTATTTTCAATTACTGTTTCAGATTATTATTTTCAGTATATATCAAATTTTGTGATGATTTGTATATTTTTAGAAATATAAAATTTATTTATTTTATTGAAGGGTAGATCTACAGAGAGAAGGAGATAAAGGAAGAAAGATCTTCCATCTGCTGGTTCATTCTCCAAGTGCTCACAACAGTTTGAGCTGATCCAATCTGAAGCTAGGATCCAGGAGCCTCTTCCTGACTCCCATTTTGGAAGTATGGTCCCGAGGCTTTGGGCCATGCTTGACTGCTTTCCCAGGCCACAATCAGGAAGCTGGATGGGAAGTGGTACATCTGGGACACAACCGGGGCCCATATGGGATCCTGGTGCATGTAGGCAAGGATCTAGCCTAGGCTATCATGCCAGGCCCAACAGTAGATGTTGCAAATATGCTGAAATGAAGGCAGAAAGATGTTTTGTCAAAATAAAGGAAAGACAAATTTTATTATCAATGTTTATAGTTGCATTAATTAAATAACTTAATGTTTGATTTAAAATTTATAAATACATCTCTTTTAATATATGTACAATCATATATTCATCCTCTCTTTTTAAAAAGATTTCTTCACTTATTTATAAGTCAGACTACACAGAGAAAAGACAGAAAGAGATCTTCTATCCACTGGTTCATTCTCCAAAAGACATCAATAGCTGGGGCTCTACCAGGCCAAATCCAGGAGCCAGAAATATCTATTGTCCAGTGTAAATAGTGGACAGTGTAGGATCAAGCATTTGGGTCATCTCTCATTGCTTTTCCTAGTGCATCAGCAGAGGGGCAAATCAGAAGTGGAACAGCTGAGACAGAGACATGAACCAGTGCTCATATGGGATGCCAGCCTCACAGGTGGCACCTTTACCTGCTATACTGCAGTGCTGCCACTGTCCAGTCTCTCTTTTTTTTGTCTGCTTTGTCGCGAAAAAAAAAAAAAAGAAAAAATCTGGCAGTGAGAAGCAAAACAATTCACTTAGTTGTAACTTTTCAATATTTTTGTGAATGATTGTGGCCCAGCAGGCCTGTCCATCTGGGTTGTAGGTAGGGGAGTTAGTCCGCTACTTATTTAGGAATCACGCCAACATGACCATGAAAATCACATTAAAAGAGTCATAAAATTAAGCATTTGTTGCACTGCTACTTCCTAGAGATGGGATGACCTGTCCATTGCCATACCCAGTAGGGTCCAACATATAGGAGAAACTGCCTGGGATCAAGTTCAGCTAAGCAAGTAGAGAAGAAAGTGAGGGAAGAGAGGCAGACAGAACCAGTGGGATAGTGCCTTCACTGAAGTGTCAAGGTAGCAATACACAGCAGAATGTATGTGGGGCATCTCAGTGATGTGCCTGTCACTTATCAGTCGGTGAAGGACAGGAGACAGGCTTGAGTCTGCCCATGGCTGATGTGTGGGGATATTGAGGAATCAGAGTAGGAAACTTGGAAAATGCATGTGCACAGTCATTGCTTTTTATTATTAAGAGATTCCAAGACAGGGCATGGTATAGTAAGCCTAGTGGCTAAAGTTCTTGCCTTGCATGTGCCTGGATCCCATGTGGGCTCCGGTTTGTGTCCCAGCTGCTCCACTTCCTACCTAGCTCCCTGCTTGTGGCCTGGAAAAGTAGTTGAG